TCCATTCGCTTCTGAAATTCGGCCGGGCTCAGGCGAAACAGCTCCTCTGCTTCTTCTAAAAAATTCTCGGTCTCTTCATCGGGCTCTTCGTCATCGTCGAGTTCGTTTTGTTCGTCGTCGACTAGTTCCATCGTGTCTGGTAGCTCCTCCTCGTGGGACGAAGCCTTGCTCGGGTACTGCTTCTGCATCTCCTCGAACCACTTGCCAAACTCCCCGTCGTCATCCTGTCATTGGTTAGCCAACATAAGCAAGTTACCTTCCAAATATTATGACCATTGCGTGTCGCCATTTTACCTCGCCGCCTTGGTAGACTGCCGATTGCTTGGAGGACGCGCTGCTGGGAGAACCTCTGCGATTTCGACGAGCCGGCACCACACCAGATGCATGGAGGCCTCGCTGCTGCAGAGTTGCGCTTGCAGGAGCGCCCTGCTTAAGCGCAAATCGGAGCAGCCGCGCTGTTAGGAGCATGGTGGCGAGGAGAGGCTACACCAACCGCTTAAAATGAGCGCCGATGGCGATGATTGGGTTTTTCAAACAATGAAATGCTTTTCACTGGATAGGGTGTGTTTTATTATGGGGATCTGTGACGTGTGCAAGATACTTGACCTCAAGTTTGTCCTGCCCGAAATCCACAAGGTGCATACTGTACTACCACTGGTGTACATGCAAAGCCACCGACAGTCGGTCCGACTCGGTGGTATGTACAGTACCGAGCTAGCCTAAAGAGAGCACTGCGACAACGTAGAATTTTAAGAGCTAGTGATTTAGATTGTCGGCAAGTTGCCAGCTGCCAGGCGGATGTAATCGATGGACGTCTGGAAACTTGACGCTCTGCAGGCGTGATTTCAAACATCGTTGCGGTCTGCTATTACATGATGCAATAGCAGACCGCAACGAGGTAGTTTACATGTAGAGGCTTTCACTGAAAGCCTCTACATGTATTAATCTGAAAGTTTCAGATGAATACCTGCTTACAGTGCTACACTGTCAGTGTACCGGCCACTGGACCGCTCCCTATGTACTGTACATGTACAGACAATCCTCTTTGTAGTGATACTGTCGAGTAGTAAGATTATATAACATTCCCGTGGGCAGAAGCTGCGTCTGCGAAGATGGCGCAGGAGATGCGCAGCCACGGAGTAGCAGTCTGCTACTAGCAGATCGACCACGACGCTATCAATCGACCATGATCGCTTTGGGCCATCGGAAAACGACGATAGTTCCGAATGAAATATGCATTTCATTCAAACAGAGCTCTTTGGTAAAATTTGCGAAGGTTTTCATCGCACTGAGTCTAGTGTTTGCGTTATTCCTTTTATATCAAGGTCGGCCGACAGACTGCTCGCCAATAGTTTCCGTAAGCAGCAGCTTCTTCTGCGGCTGCGCGTTAGCATAATAATCGGAATTTCTTCTGATTTTGATTGGTGAAAGTAAGCTTCTCGAAAGATTAAGCTTTATAATCGAATAAGGATAAAAAGTTTTTATCTCGGTAAACAAAACAACATTTGAGCGGCTAAAGAACTTTCTTTGAATGCTAAAGCTACGGAATCTAGAACGATTAAGCCCACTTGGTCTGATTAAGGCCTGCCTTATAGATTGATGACCACGGAGCACCAGTCCCATTTACAAAAATAAAATTTGTATTATTTTTCTGGATACACTCTGCAGGTGCATGTACGCAATCGATGATGCATCCCGAATTCCATCAGCCAATCAGAGAAAAACACCCATCGAAATCGCTTCAACTCGTCTAAATCCGGGTCTCGTGGGTGCTTGGGTTTATGCCCGCATTCATCTCATTTCTTGTTTAGCGACAAAGATGGTGGTGAACGAAGATCACCAGGAGCTGCTGCCGTTCGTGCGAGGCGTCCAAGACGGTGCCTGCGTGCCCGCAGCCGAGGACGTTCCCAGTGTTACGTCATCTCAGCGGCGCGATGACGAGGAGCGTGTCGTGTTCCTCGTGGTGCCAGGCCTCGCGGAAGATGACCAAGACGCCGCCGAAAAGATCGAAAAGGCGCTTCTACGTAGCTCCTTGGGCGTGCGCAATGTGCAGCTGGATCTTCTAGAGAAGCTGGCGAGGATCGAGCTGTTTTACCGCGCCGACGAGGCGATGGAGGCGGCTCTGGCTGACGAGGTGCGACGCGCTACACCCGAGCAACTCGTGGCGTATCCAGTGTGGCAGCATCGTGAGCGCATCGTGCGCCTCCGCGTGGACGGCATGCGCTGCATGACCAACTGTGGTCGGCAAGTGATCCGCGCGCTAGAGCAGATTCCAGGCGTGCTTCACATCCACGTGGACTCCAAGTCCAAGACGGCCGAGGTGGCACTAGCTAAAGGCTGCACAGCGACAGAGGTGGATCTTATTAAGTACATTCGCGCGGCCAACCCGCGCTTCAACGCATCCATCGCTAAAGAGAAGAAAGAGCGCGCAGGTTCCGTACCTGGTGCGATCTTGTTGAACATCACAGGCATGAGCTGTGCCAAGAACTGCGCTACAAAAGTTCAGGCTGCCTTGCAAAGTGCGGAAGGAGTAATTGACGCGATAGTCGACTTCGGCAATAAGCGCGCGACGATCATCCTCGAGTCGGAGAGCTTAGTGACAAAGCAAGATCTGATTCAGGTGGTGCGCAGTGCTGGCACAAAGTTCGATGCGTCGCGTTACGAGCTTTTCAACAACGACGGCGACTCGCGCGTCGTATATCTAACGATCGATGGCATGAGCTGCGCAAAGAACTGCGCAAGAAAGGTGCAAGATGCACTTAACAACGCCGAGGGGGTTATTAACGCCAAGGTGGACTTTGACACGAAGCGTGCGACCATTTTCTTGGAGACGGGTAGTCACCTGACGGAATCCGACCTGATTGAAGTTGTCCATTCCGCCGGTCAAAAGTTCACTGCTTCAGTAGCGAAACCAACCAGTGGACCGCGTACAATTCGCCTTAAAATTGACGGTATGAGCTGTGCGAAGAACTGCGCAACGAAGATCGAGCGGGCTTTGAATGCTGTTGCGAGTGTAGAAAGCGCCACAGTGGATTTCCCGCTTAAACGCGCTACAGTTCAGCTAGAATCGGGCAGCTCCCTCTCGGAGAACGACCTCATCGAAGTTGTACGCAGTGCTGGCACGAAGTTTGATGCTGCAGTGTATGTGCCGTCGTTCAGCCCGCGTACTGTGCTGCTGGAGA